CCAGCAAACTGTCACGAAAATAAATAACAAACCACAAATATACACACCTCCAAATAGAAATGACAAACAATAAACACGAAACACACCAAAAATACTTGGAAATAACTATGTTCTCTCCATCTGAACCATCTGCAAAAATTCGTCCAGGTTCGCAATGCCTACCGTATCCATTCGCTTCATCCCNTGCAGCCAAATAATTTCCTCGCAAAAAAGGTTCCAGAAACTTCTCAACAAATTCGAAAACCTCTTTTCATCACTAAACCTCTTCCGATTCCACACTCTCTACCCGCCGTTTGGAAATTAACTTCCCACCAAACTCTTAAAAGTGCCCAAAATCACCCAGAAACAACCCCGCCACGACCAATTTACCCACCCAAACTCCTCAACACCACCAATCCCTTCCCGTTCCCTCTGATGACAAAGCCAAATTCCAAACTGCTGCAGCCCAATATCCCTTCCAGAACACTACCCACCGACTCCGAACAAACACACCTTCTTCCACCAACTTCAACCTCCCCCGAAACACTTTTCAAAGGTCAAAGGTCACGCCACAACCACCCTCACCTCCATCTCTAACACAACAAAACACAAACAAATCAAGCCAGACCAAATATCAGGTCATCAACCGCCTTTCCATCGCACTCTCCACAAACAATACCCAACATATTTATTAATCACTCATTAATTATCGAATCAATCCAGTCCAGTTCATTCCAATATCAATACCATCTCCATAATAATACAATAACAACATCCCCCACACCATAACCTTAACATCGCCACACCAAAAACAATACATTCCTCACTAACCAATTCAACAATAAACAACCAAATAACATCGGATATTTTTCCACTCCACAAAACAGTCGAGGCTCACTCAGCTAAACCCTTATATCCACTCATCGTCATAACAATAAAAATACACATTGCCCTCTTACAATTATAATAATTAATAACATTTATTTTAACAATAATAATAGCAGTAATGTGCACAATAAATAATATTTTAATTCTCTAAACAACATCGATGAGATCTGCCCGCTGATTAGTCAACCTCTTCTATTGTCGGTCCACCAGCTCCACCGCTCTGGGCACCAGCTCCACCTCCTGGCGCACCGCCCGGGAAGCCGCCTCCTGGCATTCCACCGCCAGCTCCTGAAACATTGTCATCATTATTATCACGCACTCTTATCATTATCACCTCACCGTATCACTGAAATTACCAATCTTATCACTAAAATTACCAATCAATCGATACCTTGATAAAGCTTCGTGATGATCGGGTTGCACACTCCCTCCAACTCCTTCTGCATGTGCTCGTACTCGTCCTTCTCTGCCGTCTGGTTGTGATCCAGCCACTTGATGATCTCATCGCATTTCTCTTCGATCTTCTTGCGATCATCCGCCGAAATCTTGTCCTTCAGCTGAAATCAACAATTACAATAATAACAATACAATTAAACAATTACAAAAACAATAATTATAATAACAACAAATAAACCATCTCAACAACACACTACGTCTGTAATAGTAACAACGGTAACAAAAGTAATAACTATAATAATAATAAAGGTAACTATAGGTAATATTAATAACTCTTTCAATCTCACCTTCTCGTCAGCGACCGTCTGCTTCATGTTGAATGCATACGATTCCAACGCGTTCTTCGAGGCCACTCTCTCCTTCTGCGCGTCATCGTCCGCCTTGTATTTCTCGGCCTCCTGCACCATTCTATCGATTTCGTCCTTCGACAGACGTCCCTTATCGTTGGTGATCGTGATCTTGTTCTGCTTGCCGGTCGACTTGTCTTGAGCCGATACATTCAGAATGCCGTTCGCGTCGATGTCGAAGGTGACCTCGATCTGGGGTACACCTCGGGGGGCTGGGGGAATACCCGATAGCTCAAATTTACCCAGCAGATTGTTGTCCTTCGTCATTGAACGCTCACCTTCATATACCTAAAAAACATCATCATATCACCACATTCCAAAACATCTCAAAGCTCAGATCAACGTTCCCACTAAAAACCTCCCCAAAATACCCCGAAAACCCGACAAATTCAAGTCCTCCCAATCCAAAAACCAACCCTAAACACTCCCGTCTCAAAACCACCCAACCTACTTCAANAGCTGCCTGTACGGCCGCTCCATAGGCCACTGCCTCGTCGGGGTTGATCGACTTATTCAGCTCCTTGCCCGAGAAGAAGTCCGACAGCAGTTTCTGCACCTTCGGGATACGCGTCGACCCGCCAACCAAAACGATATCGTGCATTAAAGACTTGTCCATCTTGGCATCTCTAAGCGCCTTCTCGACTGGCTCCATCGTTGATCTGAAGAGATCAGCGCACAGCTCCTCGAATCGGGCACGGGTGATGTTCGTGTAGAAGTCGATGCCCTCGAACAGTGAATCGATCTCAATACTGAAATGATCGCAAAACACTATCAATTACAATAATCAGTACATAATAACAGTAATAACAATAATAGATAACAGGTAATAACAATATAGATAACAGTACAGTACCAGTACTTAATAACAGTAACCATATAATAGATAACAGTATAAATAGTAACAGTAATAGATAACAGTAATAATAATAACAATACAGACAACTAAAAAAAATAAAGCAAAACTGCCAACAACAACAATAATAAAACCAAAACCACCAAATAACTCACCTAGCTTGAGATGAGCTTGACAGGGTGCGTTTGGCACGTTCACACGCCGTACGCAGACGTCGCAGTGCCCTGGGGTTCGTCGACAGGTCCTTCTTGTGCTTGCGCTTGAACTCGGCCACGAAGTGGTTTACCAATCGGTTGTCGAAGTCCTCACCGCCCAAATGCGTGTCACCGGCCGTCGACTTCACTTCAAAAATACCGTCCTCGATCGTCAGAATTGACACATCGAACGTACCACCGCCCAAGTCGAAGATCAACACATTACGTTCACCAGATCCCTGCAAAATTCATCGATTCAATATCACACTGCCCTCTCCTCTTACGATGTTCTCCTGATTTCATGTCCCAACCCAGACATCTAATGATATCACTAGACTCGTCCCAAAACCAAACATCTGACTATGCTCTCCTAGATTCACATCTAAACTGGAACCATTAACGCTGCTCTTGAACTCGAGCCTCAACCAGTGAACATTCGAAAACATTCCTAGACCCACACCATAACTGAATCATCTAAATCTCCGAATCACCCTTCAAATAAACTAAACGTTTTCCTTCTTCAAAACAGACAAAATCAAAGAAAACAATGTCTAAACTGGGTACCTTCTTGTCCAATCCGTAGGCGATAGCCGCAGCAGTGGGTTCGTTGATGATACGCAGCACATTCAGACCGGCAATCGCTCCGGAATCCTTGGTGGCTTGACGCTGCGAGTCGTTGAAATAAGCCGGCACGGTCACCACTGCATCCTTGACTGGGTTGCCCAAGAACGCCTCAGCGGTTTCCTTCATCTTGGTCAGTACCATCGATGAGATCTCCTCGGGCGTGAACGTCTTCGTCTCTCCTTTATACTCCACCTGTACCTTTGGCTTACCACCCTCAGCATTGATCACCTTGAAGGGCCAATGCTTCATGTCCGACTGCACGGCCGCGTCATCGAAACGACGCCCGATCAAGCGTTTGCAATCTGAATTTTTATTTGTTATCGAACACATCACCACGTCATGACTCATATCCCACCACATCATTATTACTGCTGACTAATATCATTTCAATTCATCATATACAGTCATCTCACACTAACTCACACCATAACAGTCATCACACGTCATACATAAGCTGCCATACAACAAATTCTAAAGACTCACACAAAACCCGAATACAAAACAAATTTCAAAATCTTTTAAAACATTTTCACTCTCAAATCACTTTCAATCAACAATACAAATCTTTAACATATACCCATAACGAATAACAACGAAAATATACTCTAAAACCTCCAAATTCCAAATGAACATTTTTCGTTTTTTATCTAAACTCTAAATTTAAAGTTCCACTCAAACTCCTCTAAACTTCCAAATCTCTAAACTATACTCAAAATAAATGCACTCTAAACTCCAAAATCTGTACTCTAAACATTTACACTCTAAAACTTCCAAATCCAAATGAATTATTTAAAGTTCCAAACCGAAATATTTCGAAATCAAATGAAATTTTCAGGATTTTCAATTCTGAATACCATAAAATAATCGCCGTAAACTCACCGAAGACAGTGTTGTGTGGGTTCATGGCCACTTGATTTTTGGCCGCATCTCCAATGAGACGTTCAGTATCAGTAAATGCCACATAGGATGGGGTGGTGCGATTGCCTTGGTCATTCGCAATCACCTCCACCTTACCGTGCATGAACACACCAACACACGAATACGTCGTGCCCAAGTCGATACCCACCGCGTTTTGTTTCACCATTTTGATTCACTTCAACAAATTGCACTGCGCTGAATCACTGACAATAACCCAAAATTACGCACGCACCAACACGAATCGCAGAGTGAAACACAAATGACTGGCGCTTACGTCAGCCGGCTATTTATACCCGCCAGCCGTGGAATGTTCTAGAAGGTGGCGCGCGACGCGTCCGCCAGCCAGCGTACAGTGTGCACCCACGTGAAATAGTGCCTAGGACGCGTGAACCGCGCGAATTTAAATTTTCGCTAGTTCTCGAAACATCTCTATATTACTAACGATTTTTAAAGTACCTAGTAATATTTATTAAGATTTTCCTAAATTGAAGTACCAATTTTTCCAACTGAAATATTAAAAATCCCAGAAAAAAATTCAATTTCAGGCTAGATACTATCGCTAAGAAATGATCAGTATCGATTGTTATAAAATGATCAATATCGATCAAATAACTGCTGAAACAATCACTCCGCAGTGATTTCACCTCCAATAACAGGACTAATTCAGTGGAATTAAGGCAAAACAAGCGAATAAATTTGAGCAGCAGGCCCGTTCAGCTCAAGACACAGCCTTACGGCAGCCGGCAAGAAAAGAATACGGAGCAAATCAAAACATTCCTATTCGATACGGGCATTCACTGCACTGCTTTATATACGACACCCGCAGAACATTCTCGATTAAAATCCGGCTTTCCATTGCGAAATACACCAGAAAATAGTGAGAACTAGAGAGGAAACGCAAAAACGAGACGCTAAATCATTCGGAATTGAAAAAATTAAACAGCAGCCAAGACCAATAATATTGTTAAGAGGTGATCAGTGGTGATCAAGTGCTATTCCAAAGAAAACACTCATATTAACCGTGAGTCAGCGGTCCTGGCGCTTCAATACGATTTCTTAGAATGTTACAGATTCCACTCCGGCAACTTTATCGATGACGAAATATATGAGAAAATTTATTTTTCACCTCGTCTACTTCATTTCATTACGCTTTTCACATTTTTACGTTAAAGTTATATCGTGTAAACTCAAGCAATCCACTACCATACACTTTTATATACTCTTTCCAGATTATTATTTGTTTTGCACCGTTATATTTCCATATTTTTTAAATTTACCATGTTCGATTGCGAAATATAAGCGAAACAGTGAGATAATTAGAGAGAAACCAACGTAAAAAGGGTGTCATATCAACTGAAATGACATCAGTGCCTTCAGTCAAGAGCTTATTCCAGTGTTTATCAATCACTGCAGGATGTCTTATCACTAGTTATCAGTTCATTATCAGTAACACCAATCGCATAACGCATTTAATTCCGTAAATAACGTCATAAAATAACAATTTTTTCATTTTTAATAAAAACCGAAAAAAAATTCCGCTGCAAAACGCCGCAAAAATTTCGAAATTTTACGCTGCTACAGTTTCGAATTCGTGCGCGCGTTCCTGATAATTCCTCCGCGCGCGCGTACGTGCCCGCTTATAGGTACGCATGCACGCGCCATTCAAATTAAGTACTCTCGCGTACATTTTGCAATCCACCACCCATCTGACGCGTGCGTGCGCGCACACCGCTGCGGAACTTTCTGGAGTGTTTGCGAGAGATTTTCGCCAGAC